GAGGGACCTGAAGACGTTCTCAGATCTGGTTTTTATTGTTTGGATGTTCAACATGATCTGTAAAAGTGGCCGATATCAGATTCCAGTGTGAACAGGTCGCGGTCCTGAAGTGACGAATGTCGGTGTACAGGTGACAGGTGTGATATCAGGTTACAAAAGGAAACACAGACCCGTATCTGGTTTGGACCACGTATGAAAGTGACCCCCGGTTCAGAATCGATTCGGGGGTCACATGTGAGCACGGTGGTCTTTTCCTCATGAAGTCTCCTTCACATCCTCGACCTCAAACACAGGACGTCATTTATTGGACTAGTTCGTGTTGCTGAGTCCACTTGAGGTTGTGAGTTCCCAGAATCCCACTCCACAACCCCCGGGGGAAGGGGAGTGACCACATTTCACTGAGATCTTTCTGCTTCTTTCTTCCTGCATTATTGCTTTTGGATGTTTTAAGCTCTTTATCTTTTTTTTGTTTTTGTTTTTTAAAATCACTGAATCGTTATTTTTCCCCGCTCTCACTGCAGCTTCTAGAAATATCTGTCTTTGACCTTTGTGTGCAGGTCGACGTCCACCAGAGGAAACATGACCAGCAGCAGCGGTGGAGGAGAAGGCGTCGGGCCTCACTGTGACTGACTCGATATCTGAACATTTCACGCCACAGATAAACAACTGAGGTGATGCACAGAGTAATAACAGACCAGAGAGACGCCAGGGGAGGGGTTCAACACTGCTGTCAATAGAGGAGGTCGGGAGGGGGGATTTCCATCCCGTGTAACAGCCTCACCCACAACAGCATCTGAGAAACAAAGATGTTTCTTCTCCATCTGCTAATCTACTGACAAAACTTTATTTACTTTAAAAAAAAAAACAGAAGTGTTTGACGGGAGAGAAGAAAGAGACAAACAATAAGCTGACTTCAAGTGTTTAACCTACAAAATAAAATACATATTTATAAAATAAAGAGAGAAAGCCAAGAAAACAAAAAGGAGTTTAAGATGCTTTTTAAAGACGGACACTTATTTGGGTTGTTTGAGTCACAACAGATCTGACATTGATCACAAAAATCACACCCCAAAAGACAATTAAGTTACATTTTGAGTAGAGAAAAGCACCTTTTAATTGGGTCATTCTAGAAAAGGATTTAAATATATAATATTAAATATACTTCAGAGACTTGTAGGGTCAAAAATAAATATTTAATAGTGCTAATATGACTTCAAATAACTTTTATTAACAATTATAAAAGTGAAAAAGTCACTTCTTAAATCTATAAAATATAATCTATAAGTCTCTACTGAGGATTTTTGCATCTTTTATTAAAGTTAAAAACAATTTAAAGCACAATTAGATTACAAACTACCAAACTACTGTCGGCCACACAGGGCTGGAAATATTACAAAAGCTTTTTAATAAACACAACAACTATAAGAAGTGTTTCTTGTTGCAGATAATATTAGTTACATGATCAATAATTCACCACAACACTTAACTCCTAATTTAAACAGGCGAGGTAAATCAGGTTTTTGTCGTTTGTTCGCGGAGTCGATCAACTCGATCAGCTAATCAATACGTATCAGTATCAGGCGGTTAATCGATGCCTCGGGCTGTTTCTTACCTTCTGGCTTCTCTCCGTCCAGTCTCACTGAGACTTGTCATGACTTTCAGGGAAGGTAAGAAAAGTTTGGGAGGAGAAGATAAAAAAAAAAGAAAACCTCCTCTGAGCTGATCTCAAGTTACCGAGAACGTAAAACACCGCTTCCGCTTTGGGATTTCAAAATAAAACGACAAAGTTAAAGCGGTTACATTGTTTCATTTTGTGTTTGTTTGTTTGTTTGATTTGGAGGAGGAGGTGTAACTTTCTATCAATATCTGTGTAATACATTCATATATAAAACCTGTTAAAGTATTTATTTGAATTACATGTTTGTGTAGTTTCCAGGAACGTAACGATATACTTTTACACTTTATTATAAGCTTGTACAGTATTTTTGTTTTTGTTTACATCATAACTGGATACTATTTAGAATTTCTTGGACTGATTTATAAATGTAGTTATATATTATATTACATGTATTATGTATAAACTAAACTACACTCTGAGTTTAATATGTTATATATTGCTGTACTATAGTATTTATTACATTATACTTTACTACATGTTGCTTTGTATCATAATCCATATACCATACTACATTATGCATTATGTTATATTGTTTTACTACATTGTATAGCTTACTATATTATATTTCTACTACATGTCTGTGTTAACACACACAAGTATCTTTACTTTACGCTGTTTACGTAAACCTGCATTGTCCTGTACCTGCTGACTGATGTAAATATAAGCAACAAAGATGTGATGATGATATGATGTGTTATCATAGTTTAAGATTAGACTCTATTGATCAGCAGGAATAAATTCACAAGCTACCCAGTAACACATAAAGTAGTTAACATTATTAACATAATGAGTACTTTAAGTAGCTGTTGATGTCATTAGGCTACCTTTGTACTTTAACTTAATTAAAAATATGAATGCATGCCTTTTACTTTTAATCAAGTAAAACAATACTTCTCCCAGGCTTATCTCATCTTATCTTTTAATTTAATGGTTCCCAACCTGGGGGTCAGGGTCCACAGTCGGCATCACCAAAGCTTCATGGGGGGTCGCAAGGCCTTCTTTATTTTAAGGCATGCTAGAAAACATAAAAAAATATACACAATGGACCTTTAGTTCAGCATTTGTTTAACTTTTGTGAAGAAAAGTAAATGTAAAATGTAGTAAACTGTTAATTAAATTGTCTTATAGAACAATGGCAAAGCATTAGGGACAAAACAATGAATGTGTAGAAAAAAAGCCTATTAAGTATGAATGATTATTAAGAAATGATTAAAAAAAACACATATAGTACAGACATAAAATCGTATAAAAAGTTCTCTAAACAGGAAATAATCTGCTGAAGTTGTTGCAGTTACAGAGTTCACTATTACTTGTTATTGTGCGCTTTTTAATATAATATGAAACAGTCATAAAATATGTCACAGGGGTTGTCAGTTTATTAAATGTTAAAAGGGGTCCCTTGAGTTCCACCACGTTGTGTGCTTTTATTTTGAAGGCAGCATTGTGTCTGTTCCAGTCATTTCCGGTCTAACGGTTGTTTTTTGACGCAGCTTTCCGCAGTTCGCTGTTGATTACGTCGTGAAGGACTCAGTGACAGACAGCGGAATCCTCCAATGAGGAGCGAGATCCTGAGTCATCTGGCCAGTGACGACGGAGGGGCGGGGCTTGTTGGTCAGTTTGGTCAAATGGCGCCAAAGTGACCAGATTCTTGGTTACGTTCACGGACGCTGCGCCGACGTCGACCCACCGTCATATGACAGCGTTCACCTGTAATGTTGTTTAGCTTTATTTGTTTTTTTAATGTTATAATGTAAAGTTTGGTATTTTTATGCAACACAAAGATGTTGAATTTTATGTCATAATATTTTTTTATTATAGGTACATTTTACTATATTTTTTAAAAGTTGCTTCAAGTTTTGTGGCTCGAAGATTTTCTTTAAAATCCTTAAAACATTTATTATTTATTTATCTGCTTTCAGAAGCCGTGTTTTCTTCTGTTTTTCAGCTTTAGTTTAGAGTCTCAATATCAACGTATTCTACCAGTCTGTTTATATCTTAAGTAATTCAACTTTTATATGTTATAAGGTCTGCTATTACGGTTGGAGACAAAGCTGCACTTGTTAATATGGAAACAAACACTAATAAAGTCTCAAAAACTGCACTATCTGCCACCAAACAGCGGAGGACGCTGTTGTCTTTCAGGTTGAAGGCAGTCAGAGGACTTCTTGTACAACTCAGTCAGTCTGCAACCAATTACGGAGAAACACCTCCGCCCTACGAAGCAATAAAATATTTACAACCAAAATAAAGAAAATGTCAATTAAAGCCACAAAATGAAGCCAAAAAAAATAATATAAATAAATCAGCCATAAGATAAATGGATCTCCTCACAGGTGTGGACAGACATTAATTACTCCAACTGAACAAAGTGTCATCAAACAGTTTGTAGTTGATGGCAGCAACAAAAAAAATCTAATTATGAAATTACTCATTTATACAACCTCGTCTGCACAGTGAACGTATTGTCTAAATGAAAATCACGTCTCTTCTTCTTCCTCACCCTTTCAGTTCTGTAACAGTAAAAGTCTTCCTGCTCAACTCAGATCAAATCTGATCTATAAACAATAACTAAACAATAAGTGTGTCGCTGCAGCTGTGAAGTCTAACTGTCCAACATCTGTTTTGTTTTTGTTGCTCTGGGAAATAATATAAACTGTCAGAGAAACAGAGACGTTGCTATTTGGTTTCCTCTTCCTCCAACTGAAGCTGTTTCTTTTTTACTATCAGTTCACATCTTCTAGCCTATTTAACAGAAACTATATTTATTTAGATTAAAATAATCATCTATTTGATCAATATGTGTCTTTTTATATGTGATCGGGTTCAGAAATTAGGATTTTAGAAAGGAAAAAAGTCTTTATTTTATTTTAATTTTTTTTTTGGAGACTATTATAACTATTAATAGTGGTTGAAAGCTCGGAAAAAGGTAGTAAGTGGACCTTGAGTTAAGTTTTTTTAGTTTGTTATACATTATTCTGGGGTAAAAAGAAGTTACATCATCGCCTGTTGTCACATCACCAAATCAAACTCTTACTGGGGAAGTTCATGAGATGTGACTGAAAGCTCAGGAAAAAGCTGGCAAGTAGACCTTGATTTAAGCTGTTTTTTTGTATCAGGTAAAAAGAGGTTGTATTATTATATATATTACCAAAGTAATCTCCATCCACTAAGGAAGCCCATGAGATGTGCTTGAAAGTTATAGTAAAAGCTAGTAAGGAGACCTTGAGGGTTTTTTTCAGTCAAACTAAGCTATAAACAGGTTATATTACCAGCAGGGATCACATGGCTGACACAAACAAACTCCATCCACTAAGGAAGCCCATGACATGTAGTTGAAAGCAAGCGAAAAAGATAGTAAGTTGACCTTGAGTTACGTTTTTTTCCCTCCTCAGTGAAAGTGAAAATGATGTTATATTATCAACCTTACTCAGAAAAACTCCACAGTGAGACTGAAAGCTTCATATAATGACAATAAAGGTTTTACATTCAACTGACTCTTTATTTCTTCTCCTGGTTTCAAAATTATGGATTCCTGTAAAAAATGTAAAATAAATGAAGTCAATCTGTAAAATAAGTAAGTAATAAAATAAGTGAATCTGACTAATGAGCAACAGCAGCAGTGATGATTTGTATTCACATCAGTCGACTACATCTTTTTTATCTTGCTGCTACAAAAGAGGAAAACTGCTTTAAACACACTGGCTCTTAAATGTGGAGGCTTTTTATTCTGCAGAGGTTGTCGGGAAGGAAAGCTCTCGGCTCTCGGGTGACCAGAGAGAAACAATGTAGGAGGGCGGTGGTGGGATTGGCAGGTCGCCGTGACCCGGTAGAAACAACACGATTCCTTAGAAATGAATTAAAATGATCAACATGACACTTTCAAAACACCACAGAGCCAAGACAGGAAGAATGAGGAGAGTTCAAACCTCTGTGGGGTCAAACCCTGGAGAAACTTATCAATATTAAATATGTAGCTGCTCCAGTTTATGATACTTTATACCTTCGCTTCACCAGAGACTGAAAAAATACTGAGATCTTTTACTTGGGTGCAGAAAGTACAAAAAGTAATTTAACTTTTAAGTGCTTATATCCAATCCAATCCAATCCAACTTTATTTGTTAAGCACTTTAAAAACAACCAAAGTTGACCAAAG